TCGCTTCAGTCACGGTTTCAGCTGTCGGAATCAATGAAACATGTTGACTTTTGGCAAGTGTTTAGCATGCTTTGTGCAGCAGTATTTGTTGGGATTGTTTTGCTGATTATAAAATATGCGCTGTTTCGGAGAAAGTATAGTCAACTTCTGCCTGGTAAAAAACTAAGGTTTTTCGATATTATAGGTAATTTAGCTGATTTTCCAAGTGGCAAACATGGAAGAAATGGATATTCTTTCAATGTGTGTGAGTATAAGTCATTTAATTTCTATCGATTTGTCATATTGATTAATTAAACAAATCTAAAATGTCCCGTTTTAAAAGTAAGTTTTGTGTAAAAAAGTATATATTGTTTATAATCATAACATTTGGTTGCAATTTTTTAGAAAACATAAGATGAAATAAAGAGTTACAAACAATTAACATTAAGTCTAAATTCAGAGTCGCTATCTATATTATTTTTATTTATTATTGTTTTTTTAACATCTACACAGACACCATAAGATGTTATCTGTTTGTATACGCTTGTTTCAATAATTCATTAAGCATTTTGTTTGCCATTGATGATTGATTACCAGAAAATACTTCATATTTAAATTACACTCAATTATGATACCAAGATAATTGTTACCAAATAGAAAATAAGCATTCATTTTTCAGAACCGAATATTAAAATTGAAAATTAATCATTTCTGTGAATTTAATAGGTGTACAAAATGGAGTGAAGTAAATAAAATTGTTGTTTTGAAAAAAATTAATTAATGCTTTCAATTATCTAAAATTAGAAAGCTGCTTTTACCAAAACAATATTTTGAAATTGATATTTGATATTGATATTAGAAATTATTGATATTGATGATAATGACATTAATATTTTGAAATTGATATTGATCAAATTGATAACAGATAATTTTAAAATTGATAATTAATACTGCGATTTTAATAGGTCCACAAAAAGGAGTGAAATAAATAAAATTGAATTAATTCCTTTAATTATTTAAAAATTAAAAAGCTGCCATTATCAAAACTATAATATTCTAATTTATTCATTACAGTTCAGTAAATTAAACATAATTAACATTAAATAAATTAATAATTTAATACATAAGTATTAACACTCATAGTGTTCTTTATTTCGCATCATTAGTACTTTTTAAAAATGTCAAATCAAAACATCTTTCTCTGTAGAATGCTTGTTATTTATTTTTATTTACAAATAACTATAAATGTATTATAGTATTAATGATTCATTAAAATATTAATTATTCATTTCCTTCTTACCTACAACGATTCTATCTCAGGGACTCAAGATTTTTGTTCTTGTGGAGATGTAGGTAATCCTGTTCGCTATTCTACCTCCTGCCCACTTACATTATCAGGGCATTTTAAGAAACCTTCCGAAGTCAATATTAATGTATGGAAGATTAACATCTTAAAATACAAAGGATCTCGACTCAAAATCTGAAGCATGTTAAATTTTATTTGTGAAAATTAAACTTCAATTTTCACACGCTAAGTGTCAAATCGTCCCTTTGTTCAATGTAACAGGTTATTTTCTTCTTTTTTTTTTCCATTCCTTCTATTACCTCACACTCTCCCTATATATATCTTGTTCAAATTTTCAATCATTCATAAAATACTTTTTATTTATCCACTTCGAGTTCAAATACATTTTTTGAACTTGTAGTTGATGACACTTGATGTTAATACAGTCTTTTCAAATATTAATTCAGTAATTAAATTTAATTAATTAATTTTAGTTTTTTTTTTTTTTAGATTTAAGTTGCATACTTCTACCAATAGATGGCGCCATATAAACTTTAAAAAATGAATGAAAATTATTTATAAAGGACTTCCTGCAATATGGGAAAAAACATTAGGAATTGACTTTAAAAAATTTTTTTTTTTTATATTACTTGTTTTAGCTTTTTTTTTATTTAACGTGTGAATGTGAATATATATATATATACAGAATAATTTTACTTTACAAAATAATTAATGTGCGTTTACTTATCTTGTGTGTATAAAGATAACTTTGCTTTTTATAATAATTTAAGTAATATTAATATGCATTAGAGTACATTTAAAGAAATTTTACTTTATAAATTAATCTACGTGTGTGTATATATTATGCTTGTATATTTAAGGTAATTTGCTTTATAAGATAATTTATTCTTGTGTATATAATTAAGGTAATTTTACTTTATTATGTTTGTTTATTTAAGGGATTTGCTTAACAAGATAATTTATGTGTATATATTTATGGTAATTTTGTTTTTTAGAATCATTTACATGGATGCATACATTATGTGTGTATATCTAGGGTAAACTAATTTCGAAATTTTTTTTTATTTCATTCCATATGCATGTCAATTTTTAATTTGAATATTCCTTAATATTTTTTATGTGAATACCTATTATTTAGCTACTATGTACTTTGCGTATTATCTCAACTCAGTTGTTTGTAATATCTTCCTGCCTTTTATATTTCCAATGTTGCAGCATCTGCTTCTACTATCCAAATATTTATTAGCTGTTACTCCTCTTCTAATTATTCTTTCAGTACACTTTAATTGCTTAGCTTTTTGATTTATATATTCTCCAATGCTGTGCTTATTGTATTGTATTGTTTTTAAATTTTTCTAATAATTTACCTTATGTATTTTTTATATTTTTATATATTCTCGCATTTCATATTTTTTCTTTTTTTAAATTTTAATTTTGTGATATTTTCTGCTGTCATTGTAAAATTTTCCTCATTGTTCCGCTTCTGTAACACCAAAAGTAGATTGTGCGAAATTTTTTACACCTCCATCGTGTGTCCATTCAATTTCACCCACATCATTCCCAAACTGTATAGGGTCTTCTCAGCTCTAAGCACAGTGATGTGGTGTGGTATAGTAGTAACAGTAGTAGTAGTCACGACTTTTAAAAATAAGGAAGATTCGATTATGGTTGCGATAACGTGGCTATAAATGTCTCGCATTGATAGTCAGAGTCCTAGTGGAACTTTTCCAGGTTTTTCTCCTGTATAGCATGTAAATTCGGGGCAATTATCCCTAAATGTTCTTCCCAAAGGCAATGTCCCCTCGTCGTCATCCATCGGTCAGGTGTTAAGAAGAACATGAGGTCCGCCGGCGTGCATAAATTTGACAGCTGTTGCATTATTAGTATGTGAGTTATAGCATTTTTAGTGTTTATCACGTGCAGTCCACTCGGCTGACTGTCGATTGGACTTCGGTGTGAAATGATGGTGCCATGTTTCATCCATTGTCACATATCGACGCAAAAATTCGGGTTTATTACGATTGAAGAGCTCCAAACACTGCTTAGAATCATCAATTCGTTGTTGTTTTTGGTCGATTGTGAGCTCGCGCGGCACCCACTTTGAACAGCAACAACACGTTCCTTTGATATCTTTAGGGTCTCAGCTATCTCAATCCACTTCACTTTACGGTTATCAGAAATTATTTTGTGGACTTTTTGGATGTTTTCGTCGGTAACAGCCTCTTTGGGGCGTCCACTGTGTGCACCGTCCTCGGTGCTCATTTCGTCTCGTTTAAATTTAGCAAACCACTTCTCTACGGGTGATTTTCCTGGTGCAAAGTCCGAATAATGTTTATCAAGCCAAGTCTTGGCTTCAATAGTATTTTTTTCGCCAGAAAGCAATGCTTTATTAACACACGAAATTCCTTTTTATCCCTTTTTTTCAAACTAGCAAAAAGTTGCTTCACTAAAAATGTTATAACTCACATACTAATAGTGTAACAGCTGCCAAATTTATATACACGTGTCTTTCGAAGGTTCGGGGCTAACTAAAAATCATATGGATTTAATACTAGTAGCGTCATCTATGTGTCCACCTACGAACTTTTCAGCCCACCTGTTACCTCATAGAAATAATGTTTAGGTAGAAATTTTTTTAAATTACTATGTTTCATATTTACTTGTCTTATTGGAGAAAACCTTTGAAAATTCCATTGTTGTTGTTCTAATGCAGCTGGCAATATAAAGACAGTTAATCTTTATGCCATAAGCAAGTCCCGCACTGCTATTACTCATTTAGCACCACTTATGAGTAATATCAATGCAGCATATCTTCAAGCTACACGTACTCCCTTCCCCCAGACGGAACAGGTAACTTGACGATATGCTACGGACGCGAGTAACAATTAATTCCTTTAATTCCATTAAATATCTAAAAAGCTACCTTGATCAAAACAATAGCATTTTAATTTACTCTAAACAGTTAAATTGTTTCCAAATAGTAAATAAGCATTAATTTTTCAGCAGCGAATATTAAAATTGATAATTAATAATTACTGTGTTTTTAATGTAGTCCGCAAAATGGAGTGAAGTAAATAAAATTTTTGTGCTGAAAAAAAATGAAATTAATTCCTTTTAATTATCTTCCTGCCTCTATTTGTTCATAATTTTGCAGTATCCTCTTCTACTGTCCAATTATTTATTAGCTGTTACTTCACTTCTAATTATTCTTTCAATACACTTTAATTGTTTTGATGAATATTCGTTTCGTTTTCTGATTTATATATGCTCCCATGTTGTGTTCACTGTATTGCATTGTTTTTAAATTTTTTTAATAATTTTCCTTATGAAATCTTTTATATTTTTATATATTCTCATATTTTAAAATTTCCCTAGTTAAAATTCTACTTTTTTTTGATATTTTCTACTGTCATTGCAAAGTTTTCCTCATTTCTTTCTTCTGTAACGCCAAAAGTGTATTTTGCGAAACTTTTCCCACCTCCATCACGGGTCCATTCTATTTCAGCCACATCATTCCCAAACTGTATAGGAGCATCTCAGCTCTAGGCACAGAGATGTGGTGTCGTGTGGTGTAGTCGTCACCACTTTTAAAAATGAGGAAGATTCGATTATTATTGCGATAACGTGGCTATAAATGTCTCGCATTAACAGTCAGAGTCCTGGTGGAACTTTTCTAGATTTTCTCCTATATAACATGTAAATTCGGGTCGTAGCAACGGCCGTACCATGCTGAATATACCGGTTCTCGTTAGATCACCGAAGTCAAGCATCATTGGGCGCGGTCAGTACTTGGGTGGGTGAACACCGCTTGCCGTTCGTGGGCCGAGTGTCTAGCGCTCTGCCGCTCGGTGCCACGGGTTTCGGGTTCGAATCCCGGCGGTGCCATGGATGTTTGTAGTGGTTCGGAATCCACTTTAAGCCGTAGGTCCCGGTATCCTATGAGAGGATGTAAGAGCGTCACGGAGCCAAAGTCAGACTTCTACCTACGGGTGCTCCATCACAACAGAAGCTGCTTTCTTCCCCTTCAATCATGAGTACGTATGGGCTCGTGTGCTTGGCCAGCCAAGTGGGATAAGAAACAACAAACAACAACAAATTTTGGTAAATTACCCTAAATGTTCTTCCAGAAGGCAATGTCCCCCTCGTCAGGTGTTAAGAAGAATATAAGGTCTACCGATGTCGAACAATAAAAAAAAAAAATGCGATCCACTAAAGCAGGGATGGCCAACCCAAATGATCTTGCGGGCCACTTTCGAAATGCATGATAAATCCGCTGGCTTCATATAAAATTGCATATCCCCATATTAGATTTAGACACCTATAGACATTTTTTGGAGTGAAAAATTGCAGCATATTGAAAATATGTTATTATTGTGTTTACTATTATTCTTTCATGTAAACACAGATAATGTAATAATACTGATACTAAACGCACACTTTAAAGAAATATATAACACTGAAACTGAAATATAAAAAATATATAAATATAAATGAAATATTAAAAAATGAAATAATTAATAATATTTATTTTACAAATGTGACATTTGTCTCTCCACTCATATATATATATATATAATTAATATAATTTAATTATTCTGCGAACTCATAACTGTAAATACATAAAAATAAAACAGGCAATATCCGTCATATATTCGCAAGAATATTATTTTAAAATCAAAGTTAATTTTTTCTCATAATTTAGACAGCTAATTTTTGAATATATGGATGCACACATAATGTATTTTTAATACATTGGTTTTCACTACTTTGGCCATTGTAAAATAGATATATTTTGTAAAAGTGTGATAAATCTCACGGGCCGGAAACATGTTCAAGGCGGGCCGCGGGTTGGCCACCCCCCTACACTAGAGGGTTTTTCCCTTATAATGTGGCCCAAAGAAGCTGAAAATTTGAACACGATTTGCTTTAAAGCATTTAAAATATAGGAAGACATGAAAGATGAACTCCGATTTACAAAATTTTAAAACTCCTTAACTTTCCTTCTTGTGAAAATAACTTGCAGTGCAGTGTAATAACATAGTATTTCCTGAAACTTTTTTTTTTTTTTTACAGTTTAAGCAAAATTGTTCTACTTATAAGCATTTGTCATATATTTAAAAATACAATTCAATTACATACTAATATTTTTTTTTTTGTTCTAATACAGCTGGCAAACACTTAGACAGCTTGGTCTTGTATGCCTTAAGGCAAGCGCTGCAGACGTTACTCAATTCGCATTACCCAGGGGCGCGTGCAACTTGAGAAGATAAGCCACGGAGTAACAATACCCCCGCAACGCTCTACGACCCTATTAGGACCGGGACCTACGGTTTAAAGTGGATTCCGAACCCCTACAAACATCTATGGCACCGCCGGGACTCGAACCCTGTGGTACCGAGGCCAGAGCGCTAGCCACTCGGCCATTCAGGTCCCCACATACTAATATAAGGAGATGTAATTTTTCTAATAAAAGTTTTATTATTTTTAAACAAAATGATACAAAGTGTTATTTTTAAATTATTATAATCTAATAGATATTTCGTTATCTTTTTAGTTTTCAAGTGCCTTTATCGATGATAATCACCTGTATCACAAAAATAACTGTTATCAAAGTCAAAGGAACTTGCACGAGGGCCAGTTATTATTTGGAAATAATCAGCATGAGTAAATATGTTTATGTTATATTTGAAAGAATAAAATGCTCGTTTTCTAATAAAAAAAAATTAAAAATTCGATACTTAAAAGAAATCAATTAACACATTAATATTTTGTACAAACATATGAATACTAAAAATTATTTGTACAGGTTCTATTAATATCTACTCATACGATTTCATTTTTCAATACAGTATAATTACCCTTTTTTACTTGTTCATCCATAAACTCACTAATCTTCCTCAAAAATTTATAATGAGAAACACCACATCAGTGAGTTAACTGTAACAGGTGGGCTGAAACGTTCGTAGGCTGACACATAGATGGCACCACTAGTATTAAATCCATATGATTTTTAGTTAGCCCTAATCTTGAAAAGACACGTGTATAAATTTGACAGCTGTTGCACTATTAGTATGTGAGTTATAGCATTTTTAGTGTTCATCACGTGCAGTCCACTCGGCTGACTGTCGATTGGACTCCGGTGTGAAATGATGGAGCCATGTTTCATCCATTGTCACATAATCGACGAAAAATTCGGGTTTATTACGATTGAACAGCTCCAAACACTGCTTAGAATCATCAATTCATTGTTGTTGTTTTTTTTTTTGGTCGATTGTGAGCTCGCGCGGCACCCACTTTGAATAGAGCTTTCGCATATCCAAATATTCATTCACGATATGTCCAAAACGTTCCTTTGATATCTTTAGGATCTCAGCTATCTCAATCAACTTCATTTTACGGTAATCAGAAATTATTTTGTGGACTTTTTTGATGTTTTAGTCGGTAACAGCCTCTTTGGGGCGTTCCACTGTGTGCACCGTCCTCGGTGCTCATTTCGTCTCGTTTAAATTTAGCAACCCACTTCTCTACGGGTGATTTTCCTGGTGCAAAGTCCGAATAATGTTTATAAAGCGAAGCCTTGGCTTCAATAGTATTTTTTTTCGCCAAAAAGCAATGCTTTATTAACACACGAAATTCCTTTTTATTCCTTTTTTTTCAAACTAACAAAAGTTGCTTCACCAAAAATGCTATAACTCACATACTAATAGTGTAACAGCTGTCAAATTTATACACGTGTCTTTCGAAGGTTAGGGCTAACTAAAAATCAAATATTTAATACTAGTTGCGCCATCCATGTGTCCACCTATGAACTTTTCAGCCCATCTGTTACGTCATAGAAATAATGTTTAGGTAGAAATTTTTTTTAAATTACTATATTTCGTATTTACTTGTCTTATTGGAGAAAACCTTGAAAATTCCATTGTTGTTGTTCTAATGCTACTGGAAATATAAATACAGTTAATCTTTATGCCATAAGCAAGGTCAACTGCTGTTACTCATTTAGCACCACTTATAATAAATGCAGCATATCTTCAAGCTACACGTAACGTATCCCCCTTCCCCCAGAGGGCGCAGGTAACTTGAAGATATGCTACGGACGCGACAGACCCTTTTATTTATATATATATAAAAGTATATAATTGCATTTTGTCTCTTTATATACAGGCCACCAGTGATACATTATTTATTCAGATGTTTTTTTCTTTCAGTTTTGCTACAAGTTATAAGCGGTTACAGTTATCTATTCCGAAACAGCCCACTGTATTGTTTCTGGGTATCTTATGTACCTTTCGTCATACTGAAGAAAGCTGAAGCAGTCGAGGTACTTCCCATTATTTTTATTTAAATAATTTAAAAATGTCAATATTGTTCTTATGAGTCCCGAGAATGCTAAATGTATCCCATCTCTCCTAATGTCCTATTATGTCAACAATTTGTGGTGTTTGAGATGTATTTAATTGATTTTACAACAATGCTCTTCAGCAGGGGTGGCCAACCCAAATTATATTTCGGGCCACTTTGGAAATGCATCATAATTCAGCGGGCTCCATATAAAATTATATATCCCCATATTAGATTTACTATACACATTTTTACTACTACACATTTTTTGGAGTGAAAAATTGAAACATAATGAGTCATTATTATTGTGTTTACTATTATTGCTACATGTAAACATAGATAATATATTACTAATGATATTAAACATTGTAAAGAAATATATAACACTAAAATGAAATATAAAAATATAAATATAAATGAAATTAAAAAATTTAATTATTTTATTAGTGTGATATTTGTTACTCTACTCTTTCACTTAGTTTTTGCAAATAACCAAGCATTTATTGCATTTAAACCAAGCTTATTTGTCGGATTTTAGTGATTTAGCATGACAATGCAAGTTTGTAATGTTTATTGCATACTTAATTGAAACTAAGATTTATTACATTGCTATTTGATTTGACATATGTTATTCAGATCCGTGTTTAAAAATGAACCTCAATAGCTGAATTTTATTCTGCTGATATGGCATGACGAAGACGCATGCTCTATTATATTTAGCCAGCAATTAAAAATACTTACAATGGAGTTGTGAAAAAAAACTTGTTAGATGATAAACATATAATTTTAATGCCGTTGAATTGTTGTAATGTACATTCGGTTTTAAAAAATAACTTGTTATAACCAGTATTCATAAAGTCATTACAAATTTTATTTGGCGAAATTTGTAAACATGCGGAGGAACTTCAATTTGTGATAAATAGATAGACCCTTAAAACAAACTTACAAACTCCTTTCAACTGATAAAACGTGGAATATACTTGTTTCCATACCCATTCCAATGGACTTGACCCGTGCATTTTTTACAGAAAATTTCCGACTCTCGACAGGACATAAATTTCTTAATAAACACTGCCACCGCATTGGTGTAGCTACTAATGATGTCTATCCTCTGTGCTTGTCAGACGAAGCCATAGACTTTTTACATTTGACAACATGCATTGCACTTGATTTTATTTTAATTCCGACAACTTTACCAAGGCTAAATTTTATTGTTCTGCTGGAGTTCTTATGGCGGATAGGTAAAAAAAAACTAGGAAAACAAATTGTGATAAAAATGTTGACTAATTCTCAATATAATTTACAAGCAATTTGTTTACCAAAAATAGATCTCGATGTAAAGAATGATATGCTACTTCATTATCTGTCCTAAACAAGTTAAATTGAAATTAAACAATGGATAATTGTGAATATTTATAAACAATTTAGAAGCAATGGAAAGTTTACATTCAATTTTAAGTAGGG